TCACTATAATAGAAATTGAGTAAAAGTTAACAAAATTGCAAATATCTTAATGGAATATTATTACATTTTCAGTCCTTTTATAGTAAAAAAATTAATATTTTAAAATTAAATATTTTCACGAGTTTGTCAGTAATTTACACAATAACGACAAGTTTACGGAAATTTTCTATCTAAAATTCAGCTATATTAAACTACCAAGAGTCAAGATTTTACTGCAAAATGACGACCTTGAAAAGAAAAACAAAATATATTTTAACTGCATGTACCATACACATATATTGAGTATTTGAACATCAAAATTATATTTTTCTTCTCTGTATATGTTGTATAAATACACGTCAAAATAACACTTTCGCATATTCATTCAGTTTATCGTAAAAAATTGTGAAAGAACAAGCACAATTTTCAGGCAATCTAACCATCCAGTCCCCTAAAATAACGATAGAGTACAAGTGGAATATAATGTTATTTACGTATAGATTTACTCTACATACTCATAAAAGTGTATCAAAATCAAAGAGGTGGAGTTCGCAGTATTCCCTTGTGAGTTATGCTGGCTAACTTGACTCGAGACAAGATAGTCACATTGTAGTATGTTCATATCTTAATTACTACAAAACAAAATATATACAGTTTACAGGATCACGCTACACAAAGAGAACGATTTGTTGAACCAAAATATGTTTCTTTGGAATAGTCCAAATAAATTTTTTCATTTGCACAACAAAAGTATTTCTTTGGAAGTAAGATGCAAATAAATATTTTTGTTGCGTCAAATAAAATTTTGTTCGATCAATCAAAAATTTGGAGTATTCCAAAGAAATGTTCATTTGATTCAATCAAATTGTTCTCTCTGTGTACTGGAATCAAAAAATACAGAAAGGCTGTCTCTATCATGTTTCATAATCACAAGAATTAGCTGTCTGAGAGTTGGAACCTAATTTAAAAAAATGCGTGCCATCTTACTCCAGTCTCCCATTCCTATATATGTAGAAAAAGAGAAATAGATAAATCTATCTTATTAGAATCACTTTGTACAGATGTTGAAAAACGTTCAATTAAACTCAATAATATGATATAACATCGCGAAATTAAACACAATATGCATATCGACGGCTTTATTTAACAGATTCTCTTGTCGCGTGTAAAAAAGCGCCTCAGAGGCAGTTACTACTGCCCCAGCATTTTCCCTTTTGCAGGGAAAAAGCGGCGAAAAAACCGTGCCGACGATCTACAGTAAACCAATAACGACGGTAAATCATTAACTACGGTAATCACGAACGCCCGGCGACAAGCGTAATTACCGGATCATGTTCCGAAACGCGTGGAGATGTAACAACTAGGAAAACAAGAGAGAGAGAGAGAGAGAGAGAGAGAGAGAGAGAGAGAGAGAGATTAGTTTTTTCCCTCGGGTATGTTGCAAAAACGAATGGGTTCCGCAATTATTTTGCGTATTAATGCACCGTTCAACTGAACGCGCTTGACGTTTATTGCCGTCGAGAAAGTCCGAAAATTATGCACCGGGTCGCTGCCATGAACTTCGCGCGCATCTAGTATCCGAATCGATTATCGGATACATTACGACGTGCTCGTTATTTTGCAATTTGCCCACTTCGGTGATTCATTACCCGAGCGATGTTGTGAGTATCATCATTAGCGCTGTTCGCTGCGTCGTATCGTCCGCTTCCTCTCTTTCTTTCTTATTTTACTGTTTATCATTATTCCATTGCGATAATTTCGTCTGAAATTATCGCAGTGTCTTTCCCTTTTCCCTCTCTCCGTTTTCTCTGTCATGGCGTTGAGGTACTCTGTGTAACGATGTAACGCGTGCTACGGGATATTAATTTTTCTGTTGCGCTTTGCGCGTATGTGCCGCAGCGGCATAAGGCTTAATCTTGCGGAGCATTCCTGACAGAAACTTTTTTCATATCTCTGGAAATTATTTTCGGAGTACCACAATCCAACGAGAGTGTTATTCTGCTCTTGTTCCTCCTCGTATATACTTATGTGTGCGGGGATATTAAGTTGGAAGCGAGAGGGTAGAGAATTGGTTCCCACGCGTGTATGTGCTTTATGTCGTAAATGTGTCGTATGTGTATGTGTATGTCGTAAATTTTTCCCGTTAATTTTCTCATTGGACACACGTCATTGAACAATTCCTCGACGAGCCATTTATGCCATTTTACACGATTAATATTCCAACTGAATACGCGCTTTCACCCAGAGGGAATTTTATGGTAATAATTATTATAATATTTTGTAACTGAAAAATTTTGCAACAATACTAAAATGCCCAGACACAAATCTAATCCTGGACATTTTTATTGTTTCGGTTTCTATGTATACGAGAGAGTATTGTAGTAAAAATTACAAGACGATTTTAGTACTTTCGCAAGACTTATGATGAAAATTATAATAAGACATAGTAAAAAGATCATAAACATATTAAAAATTACCATAAAAATTATGATGTTTATAGTCATTTTTACTATGCTTTATTATCGTAACAGTATCAATTTCCGGACTACTAAAATTGTATTGTAATTTTTACTACAATATTCTCTCCGTGTACGAGCACCTAAATTTTCAATATAAAAGTAATACATGTAAGGGAGATCGAGACAAAGTTGATTACCGAGATAAGTTGGCAAAATCGATTATTGTTACTATTCTTTAACATATTTTAGAATCAAGCAAGAGCAGGAATTTTAAAGCTACCTTTGACATGTTTAAAAATCTTGTTTGCTTAATTCTGTAACTTATTAGAAAATAGCAGAAGTAATCGATTATATACATATATTTTATATCGGAAGTTTAAATATTCGTATTAAAAAAAAAAAAGACCAATACGAGTGTCTAGGATCGTGTCTTGGAAGAGATACTTTTACCTTAATTGGTTATCATTTCATTTCATATATATGCTATTTATATTTTAGAAACTGAAACGCACCATTAAAAAATTGCTGTGTTTCCAGCGAAATTACATGCTCCTTAGCGAGATACACCTTACTGACAGTTTGTTCCTGTGCACTGCAAAAAATATAGTAACATTAAAAAGAATTTATATGAAAAGAAACCTCTAATATTTTCCCTCCGTGCAGCTTGATAATATTCATCGTTGAACTGTAATCTTTGCAAAGTCCCTTGTTCTTTCCTTTTTCCGCTCGTGGAAGAAGATGCGCGTATATTTATAGATTTTATCGAAGCGACTCTAATACTTCTCCTGAATTATTCGACAGATTCCTCGAGCGCGCCCCGAGAGACTTCCGATCCCGTCCCGATCGCGCTGAGAAGGAGGGGAAAACAAATTATTCACAGTTTGTTGGGACGACATTACAGGTGGGGCTCGCATTTCGTCGATAATCTGGTCGTAATAATCTCTACGCGGGAATGTCCGGGGTGTGTTTGCGCGCGTGTGTGCGCACGCGCGCGCGCGTGTGTGTGTATGTGTGTGTCTCCGGGCGTTAGGCTAGAATCGCGCGCTTCGAAATGCATGGAAATAGGAAATCTCACGATCCGCTCGCAATAACGTCTGCACGTGATCGCTGCACAGCCTCCGTAGAATTGGCTGGAGACCAAGCGCCGGGGTGGCCCTCTTATCGTATTTCGCACGACGTTTTTCTCCCGCCTTATTTACGTTTTCCTTTTTTTCCCGTTCTCCTTTACACATCTCCGTCGTCGTCGTCGTCGTGGAATCGACGCGACGGCCCGTTGTGCAGACGACGCTGAATTATTTACAAAGTTTAAAGGGCGGAGGTTAAACCGCGCCGACTTTCCCTCTCCCTTTTTCCCTCTCGTTCGCTGCGCGCGCTGTATCACGGTCGATGGACGATTTCGTTTCATTTTCAGTAAATGTTTATGATTCGGGACATGATATAGCCGCGAATTTGCATCACGTTACGTTCGTTTAAACCGAGCGCGAGATTGCGTCGCACAGGACAGGTGGATGTTAATCCCTTAAAAAATAGTAATTCATTTGATTAATTAAAACGCTCGCGACTTTTCGATCCTCCTTTGTCGAGAATTTTTGCGATAGCGTGTCGTCGCAGAAAGATAATTGAATGCTTATACAGGGTGTCCGACAATCCGCTACGCAGTCACGGCGTGTAGAACTTATGAAACTGAACACAAAATTCCTCTATCACTTCGCAAACAACCACGCAGAACTTTCAATTATTAATTAAAAAAGACGATCAGTGAATCGTCGCGCACGATCCTCTTTAATTGATAACTAAATGTCCACGTGGTCATTTGCAAAATGATACAAGACTTGTTTGTTCAGTTTGATCTGATCTACAAACACACACACATCTACAAACATACACACACGTATATACGACCGCAGGTGTTGCTGTCACAGTTCATCCACTGTATAGCCTGTGCGATCACATTCACCAATCTTCTCTAATTGATAACTCAAAAATTTTACATGGTTTTTTGCGAGGTGATAGAGGAATTTTGTATTCAGTTTGATGACTTCTACCTGCACCTGTCGCGGCTGCATAACGAATCGTCAGACACCCAGTGTACTATGCATTACGAAGGATGTTAACAGACAGATGTGCACAGAAGAGATTTATTTATTTCAAACATAGTTCCCTCGCGAGCAGGGAACGGTCCCTGCGCGAACATACGCGACGCGTTAAAAATTCCTCACCCTCGTACGTATATCATAATATATTAAAATCGCAAGAAATCAGTTTGACCCGGAGGAATACATCGTTCGTAGGATATTCAATGTATCCTCTCTCTAGCGCACAATTATATCATTCCGAGCCAATCGCGTAAGTCCTGAATTTGTCAAAATCACGTAGGTCTCAAAAGAAGGAAGTGCACGGCTTTAACGATATAGAATCACAAATAATAAACGACAATAAGGAAATCTCAGACAAGTAAGAGTCAAATACCGCTGATCTCGCTGATCCACGCGATCGTATATCT